GGGGGGGGGGGGGGGGGGGGGGGTATTACATGAATGGAGCTTTAGACGTGTGAACAGACAGAGATTTTAGCGAGGAACGGGGAGTTGGAGTTGGTGAGGATTGCATGGTCATGGACTGGGAGCGAGGGGAGGGCTGTTGGAGCCGGCAAGACCTTTTCACTTGGAGGCCTTCTTGACCATTTCTCGGGCCCAGGCGGCGGTCTTGCGCGTTTCGGAGCCGTTGCCACGGCCTCTGCCGGCCTTGACGAATTCGGCGACCCAGGGGGCGGTGAGGAGCACCTTGAGTTGTCCGTTGGGGAAGGCGCTCGCGAGGTCGCCGAGCAGACCGAGCGTGGCGCGGATCAGAGGTTCGCTCGCCTGGCTCTGCGTCTGTGCCTGGGCGACGAGCGCGATGAAGGCAAACATGCCCTCGACATAGGGCTGCAGAGCCTCGATGCGGTTGCCTGCACGCATGCCCGAGACCGTGCCCACGTACGCCTCGCAGATGCCCTCGCGCAGCGAGTTGATGTAGTCGATCATGTCGTAGTCGTTGGGATCCACCGTCTGGATCAACGACGCCTGCTGCAGCACCGACATGCCCATCTGGAGGTACTTTTCAAACGCCGCCCCGATCGCCATGGCAATGTCGCCAAAGCACGAGAGGATCGGCGGCTTGACACTGCGGTTGAGCTGCGGCGACTGCAGATTCGCAAACAGCGCATTCATAAAGTCGTCGCAGTACTTGGCCGAATTCTCGCCCAGCGCACGGCAGATGTCGCCGATCAGCCCGACGCTGATCGAGCACAGCTGGTACTCCTCGTGGTTGCGCAGTCCCTCCACCATGAACGGCAGGAACGCGCCGAGGTACTTTTCAAAGTCGGCCTCGAACGCCGAGATGACCGCACCTACGGTGAAGAAGGCATCCTCGAGCACCGTCGGCTGCTTGGCGCCGTTCTGGATGAGCGTCAGCAGGTTGGTCATGATGCGGTCGCCCAACGCCAGCGTCTCGCGGCCGAGGCGGCGCACGCACGCCATGAGCACGCTGCACAGGTTGCCTTGCAGCTCGGCCCAGTTGTTGCGGTCGTCCATGCCGACGAGCTGCGCTGCCACCTCGTTGAGCTGCTGCTGGCGATCCAGGATCTGGACCAGCACGCCGCTCGCCTGGTGAACGCAGTCGGCAGCGCAGTGGGTGACGGCGCTGGCCAGCGCCTCGTACGCCGAGGTGCGGCTGTTGGATTCGTTCGAGTTGCGGCCCGTCGCCTGGAGCAGGCTGCCGACGATGCCCTCGAAGAAGGGCGAGAGCGGCGTGGAGGGCACCGCGGCCGCGTCTCCGCCGGTCTCGTACGAGAGAGCGTTGGCGCCGAGCTGCTCCGAGAGGTTCATGATGGCCCAGCAGCAGTTGGTCACGATGCGTGGCTCGTCCTGGAGGCCGAGCACGAGCGCCTGGACGAGCGCTGGGAGGTGGACGTCGGTCTTGATCGAGTCGCAGCAGAGGTCCGAGATGCGTCCGAGCGTCCAGGCGGCGGTGTCCTTGACGGCGATGCTCTGGTCGCGCAGCATCTCGATGATGGTGGGCAGCGCCGACTCGACGAGGGGCGCCAGCGTCTTGCGGTCGGGGCCTTCCATGATGGAGCCGAAGCACATGACGGCGGCCTCGCGCGCGTGCCAGTCGGGGTTTTTGATGTTGCCCTCGACGAAGGGCACGGCGAGTCGCACAATGTCATCGCCCACCACCTGAGCCAGAAGGCCGACGCACGTGCCGGCAGCCTTGGACACATCCCACTCGTCCTCGTCTGCATCCTCGTCCTGGGTCTTGAGCAGCTCGAGCAGCACGGGCACGATCTCGGGGAGGGCGATGCGCGCAAAGTTGTAGCAGGCGCGCTCCGGATCCTCGCCAAACTCGGCGGCCTCTTCGGCTTCGAGGGCGAGCTCGATCTCCTCGTCGCAGACGGTGGACCAGAACTCGACGGCCTGGAGAGCCACCTTGGGTTCCGAGTCGCGCATGCCGAGGACGGTGAGGCCAAAGAGCGCCTGCTCCATGTAGAAGCGCATCTTGTCGTAGTAGAGCTGCATGGTACGCACGAGGCACTCATAGGCGGCGATCTTGACGGCGATGTTGGGGCTCTGGGTGGCCTCGCACACGACCTGCATAATGTAGTTGCGCTCGCCCTCGCGCTCAAAGTTGGCGCGGACGAATTCGAGCGAGTTGTAGAGCGCCTGGAGGGCGGNTGGCCTCGCACACGACCTGCATAATGTAGTTGCGCTCGCCCTCGCGCTCAAAGTTGGCGCGGACGAATTCGAGCGAGTTGTAGAGCGCCTGGAGGGCGGCGAGCTGGACCTCGGGCGAGGGCTCCTCCTTGCGCGCGCCCTGGATGACGGCGGTGAGGATCTCGTTGGACTGTGCGGCCAAGACGTCGGAGCTGATGCCTTCGCAGGTGAAACCGATGGCCTGGAGCGCGGCCTGGCGCAGACGCATGTTGGAGGCATCGCCCATGGCGCCCAAGAGCTGAGCGATGAGCTCGTTCCACAGACCGACGGGAAGTTCGATGGCGGCGATGGCGGCGATCACCTGTGCGGCAGCGGTTCCGGCGCGGTGCTCCTGGCTGCCGAGGGTGCTGAGCACCTTTTGCTTGATCTCGTCGCGGCCGGCCTGGGGTAGGAGCGTCCATCTTGCGGTGTACTCTTCGACACGAGTGGGATCGCGAGCTGTGAGTGCGTTTTTGACCGCGAGACCTGCGGCGGTTCGGATATGCGAGGGCGAAGATTCGTTGGCGAGCTCGGCGGCGAGCGTGCTCATGTAGACGGGGTAGCTATCGCGAGCGGCCGCCTCGAGTTTCTGCTCGGCATCGGTACGGATGGCCTGATCCGGCGAGAGCGTATTTGTGAGGAGTTGATTTGCGTCCATGGTTGCGAATCAAAAGGCGACCGCGTCGAGTCGCAAAGTATCGGCCGGTGGCAGAAGGGGGGTGAGGCAATAGCTAGCCAAGGCTGCCTGGCGTAGCGACTCTCAGCGAGAGGAAAGTAGGAGGGATGAAGAAGGGGCAGCGGCGTCGTGGCGCAGCGAGATGTAGCGATGGCGAGGAGGAGAGGAAATGCGGAGCGGGTCGACGATGCGAAGGTAGGAAGGAAGGAAGGAAGGATAACGTGCAGAGAGCAACAGAGGCGCGCTGGGGAGCACAGAGCGAGCGAGGCCACTTTTTGGTGTGTTGATCTCTGACCAAGCCTAAGCCTTTGCGTGGGCCACGCCCAAAATCCAACGTCCGTCCGCGATTCATTTCCACGCACACGCATCCACGCTCAGTCGGTCACACTTTTTCTCTCTCCCTCTCTCCACACTCGCCCGATACGGTAGCTTTCGCCGTCCACAGCCCGCTGCTGTGATTTTGCAGGCGGTCATCACACGCACGACCCCGCGATGAGAATTATGTAATCCCACCTAATTTTTGCACCTCGACCGCCGTCTACGCTGCTGCTGCTGCTGCTGCTGCTGCTCC